AATAATAATATAATAATAATAACGATGATAATAAAAAAGACAAATAATAGTTTTCCCATATTCATTCTACACTTAGGGTATCCACGTTTCAAGACGAAAACGCTTTTCTTTATTACTTGTAATTGTTTTCGTAAAACGCCGTTATTATTGGTTCGGACTTGGCTACCAAGCACTTCTATATATACATATATATATACATATATATATATATATATATATATATAGAAAATTATTCAATTTTGTGTTATAAAATAATAACTTTGATTGTTTACAGTTAATTATAAGTTAAACTCCATCAAAGCGCACCGCTGTCAAGAGTTGGCAAAGTTTCATTTGGTGTATATGCTGTAGCACCGAAAAGAAATGTTATGCAAACAATTGCTGTAAGCCAAGCACACACTATTACTATTATCATGATTAAATCAATTATACTTTGTCATTGATTTGTGTATATATAATGTATATATATATATATGTATACGTAAGCATACACATGCACGTATGCTTACGTATTCATTTCTTCAATCGATTTGTAACATTTTGAAGCTTACATGGTGGATCAGCTTAACATTCCGAAAAGATTTACTCATGTCTATCTTTCGATCTATCTAGTTTTACAGCAATCGGTAGAAGTCTAAATTTCAAAACGAAAATGTTTCGGGTCAGTTCACTTTTCCGACCAAATATATTTTTCGATCTAAAATACTGTAATATTCAAAAATTTCTCGAAAAAAGTTGCTAGTTAATGATATTTCGGCATTCTTAGTTGTTATGAAAAATTTCTTTCAGCTGGGGAAATTGTTGAATCCCTCGTTATATAACAGTTCCTACGAAAACTGCATATGGTAGAAAAGGTTAACTTTCAGTATTTGATGGTGAAAATTAAATCGTAATCGTAAATTGACAAATGAATCAATCTTACCGAATTTGGGCTAAGGAGGTCTATTTCTTTGACAACATCGCATATAAAATTTCCCATGAATAGTAATCGCTTGAGAAAAAGGTTTACATTTTTATATTTTATGATGAAAGTTGATCCATAGTAGTAAATTAACCAAAAACATTAACGGTAGGGAATATGGATCAAATAGGCCTATTTTTTAGGGCCTAATATATATCAGACTTGTTACAAGAAGAGGGTTTAATTTCTAGTTTTTATGCCTGAAACTGAAAAATAATAACATTTCCATGATGCAAATTAAATTTGAATCACGCTAAGTAATATTTTGCGTACACTCCAATATGAGGGCCTTCACAAAACGTATGCTTTTGCATGAAAATAATGTCTAATTGTTGTTAGCCTATTATAACTAAAACGAAAGAATAACTGCACTAAGCGATTTGATGTAGGTATAAGCTATCCAATGGCCGGTCTTGCCCGATTATAGTGTTCGTATCCTTCTTATATTCTTATAAAAGTTTGTAATTATTTCTATAGATCATGTTTTGGTATGATCATACATATTAATGTCGATCGAAAAAACTATTAACATCAATGACCCAACTATTATATAAAGTAATGAAGTAAAACTTACTTACAAAATTATAAATTCCTATTTGCTTACCTCATTCGGTGTGAGCAACAAGCTAACCTTATATTTCTAAACCCTCACCATATTCATGAATTTAATCATTTGATGCTTTTTCTACTTATCACATCAAAAATTACGTTCTACTTCAACTAACCATTTGCTATGAATGCCTTAAATGCAGATAAAGCAGACACATGAAGCCTTCTCATCTCTTTAAGTTTGCTGTTAGTTACGTGGCGAACCGCTGCGTAAAAATTCAGTAAATTTTTGTTTATTACGTTCATATTCACAGGCTATTTGTAATAATTTATACGGAAAAAGACATCCCTGCAATGAAAAGAAAAATTATTATAAATTAAATATGGCAATAAAAAAAATCGCGCCTCTTCACGTCTCTCTGCATCTAGTACGAGCATCTCCGGAGCACGCTTGATCATCTTGTCACTTTTTATGGACAACATCGTTTCCTTAGAAACATTGTTGCCCAGTTATCACGTTTGCAGTCTTGAGTTTTTGGCTTCGACGCACATCGCGCGTTTTCTCTATTGTTTCTAGCCCATATAATATACGGCTGCTTCTCACAATCCGACATTCCACGCCATCTTTTACCAACCCTGCGGCATATGACAGGTGGCCGCAATTTTTTACACTGCTGTTTCAACTTTTGCCGATACTCGTTCAAGAACACAAAAAACGATGTACGTGCCGTCGAGCTTTGATAAATTTCTTTTTCTTGACAAGGATTCTCCGATGAGGACTTCCTTTCGCACTTGACGTCACATTCCAATTTGATGTAATCATTATTTTGAGTCATCTTTAAAATCACCATAAATTTATTTTTCTAAATTAAAAAATTTCCTTTAAAAATTGACTTGGAAAAAATAAGAAATAAACTGTTACAACAACGAAAGAAATTTATTATTGGTTTGCCGAATTGCAGAAGAAGAAGCAAAAAAACAAATATGTCCAATTTAAGTGAAAGTAATTTCCAAATATTTTTAGAGCAAGTGCAAAAACAATTTTTATGTTGTTATCCTGTACAATGTATTCAATGGCAGGTATAATATTTAATAACATGCAAAATCTATACAAAATCATATAATAAAATCTTACTTGCAGAATTTTCCTAAACATTTAAATTGGGATCAGCAAAACATGCTAATAGATTACACGTATAAATGCCACCTGAATCGAGAAATGCCTATTAAATTACAATATCAATTAAATTTCCTGAAGAAACTGATTGCTTATTTAGAGCAAGACTGCTCTGAGATACATGATTCGATCTATGAAAGCTTTTGCGAAGCGCAACGAAAAATTGTTAGTCAGCCGTCAGAGAAATTTGCTTTTAAACATTATGTACTGAGCGAGAAAGTCCATTTCAGTTTAAAAGAATCAAAAAGTTTTGTGGCCGATGGTACTACGGGACTATGTAGCTGGCAAGCAGCATTGGCCTTAACGGACTATTTTCTACACCACAAAGCAATACTTTGGAATCGACGGATTTTAGAATTGGGATCTGGTGCCGGCCTGTGTGGTTTGATAATTTATAGATTATGTGAGCCAAAACATCTTTTATTAACTGACGGCAGCTTATCGTGCCTAAAGCTTATAGAAGAAAATATTAAACGTAACTTTCTACACATAGAAGAAACAATAGATAACAAATGGCTTATGAATGATCATATTTTGGAATGTTGTTTGGTAGACTGGAAAGAGATAAATTGTGTGAAAGAAGTGAAAACAATGCTGCCAGATATACTTTTAGCTGCGGATGTTGTGTATGACAGCAGTGTTTTTGATGATTTATTACACGCCATTGATTACGTGTTTAATTTAAAACAGAATAAAGTAAAAATGTTTCTGGCTGCTACTGTTAGAAATCAAGCAACTTTGAATGGTTTTCTTAACAAATTAGGTGAACAACATTACAAAGGGATTCTTTTAAAAAATGTTTTATATATATATATATTTATATATTTATTTTTAGGAAATCTTCGTTTTCAAGTAGATAACGCCGAAGTTATACCTTTAGAAGAGAGTTTCCTTTATTGGGACCGCTTAACGCCGGTTAGAATTTTAATTATAACGAGATAATCGTAAGCATATGCATTATATACAAACCATGCCACGGCATCATACCACTGAAAAGGTAGGAAATGTTTTCCAAATCAACTCATCATCAAAAATTCTACTTTTACAATGGAAAAATGCTCCAAGAAGACTTGCAGCGAGCAAAACGGGCGCATTATATGTAACATTATATGTAATGTCATCAATGTTCAAATACTCTCTTTAAGAAAAGGAGCAAAATTTTACATTTTAATTTAACGCACATATCAAGGAGGTTCTATACACGAATATAAATTTTTAAGCATATTTTTTACTAAACATTCAAACTTATGGAATAGATTATATCGACCACATTAGCCAGACGTAAATGTTGCTCTCAATTAAAAAAGTCCATAAAATTACAATTAAGCCAAATATAAGTGAAACTAAACAAACAAATATTGAGCTAAAAAATACAAAAATTGGAAGAGAAACTAGCCAAGAAGTAAAACCATTAGATCATTTCCACATCCACAAAACAAAGCAAACAGTAAATCAAAATGTACCAGTAAAGAGTAGTCGAGTGTTTGCGTTTATATCCCTTCATTTCAGTTTCTTAATATACTCGTATCAGTACCATGTTTCTTAATATACTTAACGCATCCAAACTTATTGCTGCTTCATTCAATCTTTACATTTTTTTTTTTTTTAATATATCACTTAATGTCAGCGCTCACCTATAAATTACTAGCTTGTCATAATAATTGAGGAGTGGTCACTTCTTTAAATATAAAAATAAAAAGATTCAAAATGACAGAATTTTTTTATTAAAGTTCGATTCTTTATGCCATATAGATCATGTCATCGATATACTTATAGGTTTACAGTTAACCTGTCGACTATGCACCCGACACAGACAGGAATATCGAAATGAAAGCATTCTCTAGAAATGGCTTTTTGCTTATTTTATTTAATGAATCCTGGAAATATCAATCAAAATCTGTCTTGATTAGAAGCCAAAGCATCACAATGGATGCAAAAAATGTTAGATACATCACAGCAAGGTGAAATGTCCACTTTTAAGAATTTGCTAGAACAATTAAGCTTATTGACAAATCTATAAATGAAAAATAACGTAACCTACAAATCGTCGCTGTTATTGTCTTCAGGATCGACAGATTAGACAGTAATAAAATATTCATATATTTTCGTTATTATATTCTTTTTAGTTAAAAACACAATTATTAACAACTAATTGCTTATAGTAGGTATGGTGGCGTCGTTTAAACATCCAACATTCAATTGTTCGATTTGATGTTTTTGAAATATAGATACGATACGTTCTTGGCACTTTCATGCCTACGACCAATGCCAATAATGAAACAATTATGATGAAAACAAAACCCTGAGACATTAATGTGCTAATATCCGTAGAATAAAAATATGAATTTTTCTGATTCGAAACAAAATAATAATAAATCATACCAGTCGCTAATAATTTTAAAGCATATGATGCATAAATGACTAATTCGTTGTAACGAAAATGCGCTACCTCTACCAAAATGATTTGTAAATTTGAATAATTTATACCGAAGCATAAAATAATTAGCCAAAAAGGTATACTGGTTTTTACAGAATTACACATAAGCATTTAGGTTGAATCGAATAGGTTCTGCCCGTCGCTATTCAGGAGTTCGTGACTAACATAACAACATAAGAAGCCGACATGCATTGTGCTATGTATTCTATCATGTCTTTCCGATAAGTCGCAGAAAAAAGTTCAACCCTTTGAACCTGATGTCCACTTGCTTTCATAAAGTAGACCACCATAATTTTTATTCCCAAATTAAACAAAGCCGTCGCTAAATTCCCCGTTAAAAGACAAAGCACAGAGTTGCTTGTAATAAATGAGATAAATAGTCCAAAAATTGGTCCGTAGCCAATTGAGGTGATGTTAAGATTACGTGCAGCCACAAACGCAGATATCGTATAGCCGTACGTACACTAGCGTACACTAGGTAAAAAACTAAAACATAGGCTTTTTTTGCGATTAAATGAATTAAAAGCTTACAAAGGTGGAACTGGAAAAACAAAGAGAAGAACATCGCATATATTTACCCAGGATGCAAGGAGCATATAAAAATAATTTGTAAAGAAAATTTTGGCAAATGTCCGTCATTGTTCAATACATAAATTCGTTTTTATGATAAATTTTGAAAATTGTATGCACTCTCGAAATAATGGTGCAATGAATTTTTAATTGAATATTCATATTCTAAAGTTTTAAATCAAACTGAGAGAGAATATCTAAAGTGCTTTTTTCGCAGTCACGGCTCTTCTGATAAAACTGATAAGATAATATGAAAAAAAGACATTATTTTCTTTTTGTTGCAAATATTTATCTATGTATGAATCAATTTGAAGCGAATACTGGACACGCCTTACCTGGTCACGCTAAACTACTTATAAAGCAATTCTTCAATTAATTCGTTACAAGGTTATCATGACGATGGCATTTTTCGAAAACAACTTATGCACAATGTAAATATACATACTTGAACGCTTCAAAAGAACTTTTTTGGTTTCAATTAAAATGTAGCGATCTTATCTATTTTTCAGCACAGAAACGCAATAGTAGTAGGAATAGTAAAAAACGAAGTTAATGCGAAATATTTTTTGGATTTTTTACATGTGACAACTGTTACGATCAATTTAATAAGCTTGTAATCTTTTAGTGATCAATGAAAAAGAGTTCAATTACATGATAAGTCTTACAAGCGATTTTCTGCCTTTCTCTCTTTCAGGGTATGTCTTATTAGTAACACATGTGGTTATGGATAGAATTGCTTAGTGGACGACTTAATAATAGCACTTCATATATTTATATAAAGTTCTACGAATTGATTTTTGTATTTTTGAATTTTTCTTTTTTTTTTTTTTTTGACTTTTATTTAAAATAAAAATAATGCAAATTATAGCTTACGCATCTTTGGTATAGAAAAGCAATCTAATGTGTTAACCATATCCTGTTGCTTGATTAAAAATCTCTTTTCATTTCTTTTTTTTTTTCTTCATTATAAAATTTTATTAAATAATTATTACACTTGTAATATAAATAAATACTAAAAAAAAAAAAAAAAAAAAATGAGCCGATAGTCTTTATTACTTATGCTCATCTTTGCTCTGTATAAATTATTATAATGATAATAATACAAAAAAAAAAAAAAAATCAAAAAAGAAAAAAACGACCGAAAGAGAAAAAACTTTATTAATATTTCATAATTTGTTTGTCCCGTTCATTCGGAGGATATTGATGAAAAACGCGATTATTATCTATGATCACTTCGGAAGTGACTGGTGCCTCTAATTGTAAAAAATAATTATTGCTATGCAATTTATTTGTATAGCTCTTAACCGGTTGTCGATAAATGCCCAATAAATTATTGCGCATTTCAATTAAACCTTTAGAGTTAGGTAAAAATACTAACACCAGTATAGCACAAATTAAGGTTAAACAAATTGTCGACAAACCTATACTTAATAAAATCGTATAAATGTCTTCAAGTCTTGTTTCATATTTGAAAGCTTCCGTTGCTCCGATTTCCAATGAATATGAAATAGCTAAGGCCAATTCGGTGTAAAGAAATGGACAAGATTCTATTAGCATTTGTAGGCCTACACTAGAGTAAACTCCCATACTTAAGTAATATAGGCATAGGAAGAGGAAACATTTCTCCAGTAAATAATCATTATAAACTAAAAGTACGGCCGATGTGAGCGTGATTTTGATAATGGCAAATTGAAGGTAAATCAATTTTGGCTTATAACGTAACATAAGAGCAGCACCTATCAAGCATCCTGTCGTGTAACATAAAAACGGTAAACACCAATATTGTGAATGCAAGTAAGCATATGTTGACGACCAGGTTAACTGGAAATATGTATACGAATGCAATGATGATTTTTCCAACAATATAATGAACGCTATAGCAACTACCAGATATTGAGTATTACGCTTGAATACATAATCGTCGCGGCCGATAAATAAAGCTTTCACTGATCTATTGCTGATATATAAAAGCTTTTCGTCATTTAATAGATTATAAACTAAATCGCAGGATATCTTATAATTCTGATAATTATGATAATGTAAACACTCATTGATTATCAGCAATAGAATCATTAAAGCGTTAAGAGCTAAAAGCATCCAACCGCATAATTTGGCTTCGAATTCATTATATAAAGCAAAGCCCAATGTCAAGCCAAAATAATAGGAGGTATTACCCAAAGCCAAGCTGAACGGTCTTAAACCTTGCGGATCGCAACGCAAGTAAATGTAACTAAAACATGGTAAATATATTGCAGCCATAGCTGTAAAACCGAAATAGAAAGCCGTATCTGAAAATGGGAGATCAATTTAAGTAGAAAATATCGTAAAAGCAGATTTGCTTTTTCATTTTGATCCTCAAATGCATACTGTTGCCAATTGTCTACATTTCAATTTTGTTTGATTTTTTCAAATTGAACTAAAATGCAAACAATTGGCAACAATATATATTTAAGGATTAATACATACTCACCCATATCATTATTCAGCATGAAACAAGAGCATATCACGTTAGTTATTAAGCCGTAGAATATTATATAAAAATTTTCATAAAGGAATTGACGTTTCTTATAATGACGCAGGCACCAGCCAGTAGCCACAATTAATAATGTTGAACAGCCGCATATAGCGTACCAATGATTCCACAGATTATCATAAATATCCACATATTTACAATAATAACCGTAATTGAAGCCACTGACAAATAAACAGCTTAAAACTTGAATAAAAAATTTGTAATAAAAAATATATATATATATATTTATTTTTTTTAATTACGCGAACATTAAGTAACTCACTTAAAAGATCGCAAAATCCGTACATGGCACTTCAAAGTATCAAAAGACTTTAATACGCATCTAAATTATTTTAAGATCTAACAATAAAAGTCACTCATAAATTTTTAATATAAAGATTTACTTAGAAATGTACAACGTAATGATTCACTTTATTCACTTTAAGTGTAGAGGAACTATTTTTATCAAGATTTTTTCTTTTTTTTTATTATTTTAAATGATTTTTACCAGAGAATCGCTATAAATAATAGGTGCTTGCATGTATTTTGATTAGCGACATCTATTGGTGAAAGTAATAGAGCAACGCAAAGTACCAATGCATATAGTCTTCGCGAGGCGCGAACAAATTAAACGCGAGTAATTGCAGGAAATAGGCGCTTGCATGTATTTTAACCAGCGACATCTACTGGCCATAAAGATGATAAAGTAATGCAAACAAATTGTTAAATGCGATGATTTTGACATTTCTCTACATAAAATAACAGTTTTCTTTTTAGTATTGTTGAGCTGTATCAGACGCTAATCATGGAATGCTCCAAATTGCATTTTTAACATTCATTGCTTTTGTTGTTTGATTTGAAGAACTCTGCTGCCGAAACCCATTAAACACTTTTAGAAGGTTGTGGTGATGTTGTTCCAACATAACCCAACATTTAAAGTTAGTGGTTCGGACTGGAGAAGCAAAAAAGTTCGAAGACAATGAACTGCAAGACTCATTGGAGGAAAACCCAGCTCAAACTCTTAAAAAACTTTCGACCAGCTTAGCAGTTAACGAATGGGAACTATCCAAAAGGAATGAAAATGGCTTTTCGAGACGTTTCGACACCGTGATGGGTTAGTCTTGGAGCGGCATTCACATCCACATCGGAACAGAATATTCGTGGTTATAAAGTTTTGTTGTGCATGTAGTGGGATCAGCTGCTACGAGCTGCTAAAATCGAATAAAACAGATGTTAATTGAACTAATTAAACGATGTGTTGTTGCAAAACAGACTTAAAGTCATACTCTTGAATGACAACGCTCAACCACCTGTTGCAAGAGTTGTCAAGGATAGTTGTGCTGCACCCAGCGTACTCACCAGATATTCAAATCGATGCAGCATGCCTTACCTTGGATGTGGTTTCGAAGTGCTGAAGAATTGCGAAAATGGATCGATGATTGGATCGCTGCCAAGCCAATATCGTTCTTTAAGCGTAGCATCGCCATATGTTGCCGCAGAAAGATGAGAAGGAGTTGTAGAAAATGATGGAAGATATTTCGGTTAGTATGTTGTACCAATTTTTCTCAATGAATGTCTTTTCGAAGTGAAAAATGATCGAAATACATGCAAGCAACTAATAACAACAAATTCAGTTGATTGATATCTAATTGGAGGGGATGCACTTTTCAACTGTTAACATTTTCTTCCAATTACCAAGATAAGATAATATTTTGATACATTCTGTTGTTAATTAAATGGGTATTAAAAACAATTCGTCATACGCGATCAAATTCAGGAGTGAACAACTAAAGAAAGGAAGGGCGAAAAAGAAATAGTTGCACATATTTCCCATTGTCTGTCCTTTCTTTACCTTGCGTAGAAAGATCAAGTTCACCTACACGTATATAGTCGTACTTGACTCTTACTGTTTGTGCAAAATCTGAAGAGTGCGGTATTTTCTTTAAATGTATTAGTTATACAAATAAATCCAACAAATTGAAATTGAAATTGGTTGCTGCCTGTACATGTGTGATATGGTAGCTCAATTAGTCCTTGATTTTCTTTTTAAGTTGTCAAGTTAGCCTAGTTTTTTGTTTCTTTAAAAAGGAAAGTTCATTGAATTTTTGAATTTCGCACAGTATATCTTTTACGAGCATGACGTATATAATCGAATAAATTTTATATAATTTTGAAAGAAAAAAAAAAAAGAGTTAAATAATAGCCTTGCGAGCAGTAAACAGGCTTTATAGCAAGAAGGAACGGGTTGTGTTATCGACAAATCTTCGAGAGCAAGAGTCGAAAAAATACATACAAATAGAATGCTATATTTTGTACAACGGGAGCGGGGTAAAACCAGCTCTCAATTTGTGAGTGATATTGCGCTTCAAGTTATTGCAGCTCGTAAAATTCAATATTTCTTCCGACACCGTGTTAGTAGTAAACGATTGAATGCTTATTTTGTTCTCGTAACGCCAGCAGCTGCGCAGGTTGCCTGCGAAATTGTCTCAATGACTGCTCATTTGACCGTTCAGAATGAACCAGGGGACAACGAGGAAAAAGCTGATGTTGGTCCGATCGATTTCTTTAACATTGACTGGTGAGATGAGATGACTCGTTCACACGCACTTACACATACAGACCCACAAACATTGTAAAAATTTTAGACGGCAATTTTCGTCATCGACCACGCGAAGTGTAAAAAAATTCTGCCTGAAAATGAATGTGATGCGCCCACAATAGGCAAAAACATGCAATAATTTACAGCAGGTATTGCTTGCTTGATATCGAAATGATCATTGATCATTGATATTGCAATGCAATATGGCCTCAATACGAGTTGTAGGGCAAAATTTACTCGATTGCATAATTTGAATATGATATGTATGTATGAGATATGAAGTTACTTCGCAAGACAAGAAAATCAATTGGAAAACTTTTTTTCATTAATATTTGTATATAAATTTTGATGTATTCTTTCGCTATAATATGATATATATATATATAATATATATATATAATTAATTATTAATAATAATTTCTTATTCTATTGGTTACTAAATGTTGTATGTATATAATCCATATATATATACATATATATATATGTATCGGTATATAATAGTAAGACAATCTATACAAAAAGGACTGAGAAGTAGGAAAATGCATAAAATTCATTTATATAAATTTTTTTTTTTTTTTTGTTTTAAGCTAAATATTGCTTGTAATTGCAGATATATTGTAAGTACTTAATTAAATATAATTAAAGATATGCTAAGGACATATGTGAGAGTCTCTATGAAAATAGAAAAGAAGCAAGCAAGAGAGTTAGTTGTTTCTTTTTTTATTTTTTATATATATATATTTTTGTTTTTCTTGTAATTCTAGGAAAATATTTTCTATTAAATGCTTTTCATGTTTGTTACACTTGCTGGAAGATTTTTTCATTTTCCATAATAGAGATGGTTTGTTGCATTTAAGCTCTGCTTTAATTAATATTGCAACTATCATTTTCTCCGAATTCGCTAAACCGCTAATTAATTAATAACTTTAAAAGCTTGGGAAAGAGCAGCTACAATTTTATATTAAATTTTCATTGGCTTTTAAGAGTTGTAGAGTTAAGGAACCAGTTTTCGCTATTAGAGAAAGCTATGACTTTTTAAAAAAGTCTAATTTGTATAAGTGTAGTGGCATCGTGTACGCATGTATATATATTTGTAAAATACAATTAATTCACATGTAAGTAAAATGCGCTTTCCTTCTTCTTAACATAATTCCATAAAGAGTATTTGTGCGTTTTGCTTTGTAAGATAATCTATTAAACAGTCTACAATACCTTCGCGTTTAAGATAACAAATAACTTTAATAATATTAAATTTTTTCTTAAATATCACTAACTCATATTTTATTTTATATAATATATAATTCCTCGTTCCTTATTACCTTAAGCTTATGGCCAAGCAAAATTGATGCCAGTCATTTGATAAAATCTACTATTAAAAGGTCTATAGAATTCACGCAGTCTTTCGATGGCAGCTATATCAATATGTGGATGATTGCGACCTTTCGTTTTGCCCAAACAATGCGGTGTTGAGCGTGCCTCTGATTTCAATAAACATGGAAATCCTTTAGTTGCATTAAAATAGAAATGTTTTTCAGTCACAACCCTTTTAAGGCCCAAAAAATCTTGCACTCTTCCGATTTCGTAGGCGGGATCCATAATCAAACGCTCGCCGCTAATAAAAAGCAATTGTGATAGTGGGAAATATTGCAACCACTTCTCTAGGTAACGTGCATAAACTCCAATTTTCACAGGACCCCAATTGGTATCCACGACAGCATACGAACCGTTCACAAAAGCCAACTCTTCAAAATGTTTCATATCAGATTTCTTACTGGCTGCTTGAGTATAATCGGATATCGCTCGCGTAACAGGATCACGAACAACCACCAATAGTCTGCAAGAAAAATGAAAACTTCTCTCAATATCATCAATATATTCGCTTAGCCAAGCAAATGTATATTTGAAGAAAAATTCTCTCTTACTACGCGTTTCAATTGAAATTCTTATTATAAATCGTATACGTGGTATTTGAAGCCAACCGATTCATGGTCGTCACCTAGAAAGACATAGTTTCAAGAAGCACGCGATTAAAATTTTAAGTAACGATTTCTCTCGAAAAATCAGCCTCGATTTCGACCTGGACGATGTGAGACTTCAACACGATCGCATAATCTACGGAAATGCTATTTTAAACTGGCCACCAAGATCATGATAGCATGGTATAATTCCACGGGAATTTTTTTCTTTGCGATTATGCTAACGGGTAAAGCCATTGTAAATTATTCAAAAAGCCATTCCTTTCTTAAACTCCTTCCACTAAATAGTCAAACATGACTGATTCGATTGATGTTTTGAAAATATGCGTGAATTTGAAATTTTAATACGTTCATCTCGCAAGACGATTTCTGAAGACCGTAAAAAGCATAATTCGAAAAATTTTCATTGTTCTCATCTGATTTTTTACAATATCTTTAAAATAACCTCCTCTCAAGAAATACGTAGGCATTTTTTAATAATAAAAGGGTATTTTTTGGTCAAAAATTGAACTTGATTTAAAATTGAACACATTTGATTGAAAATCAGTATTTGTAAGGTGGCGTACGTATTTTGATGGCTATAGACATACAGATTAAATGATTTTTTTTTTTCATTTTTTTAAGTGAAATTCGGACCAATTTCCTTTAATTGACAATGGCTTGTGAGGACGCCTCCGGTATTATCACTTTTTTTAATATATTTCAGTAATCATTTTTTTTTTCTAATGCACTCAAATTTATCTGTAATAATTTCGCCAAATATTATTATTCTATCATCTTTCCTTTTATCCTAAAAATATTGTTATAAAAAACTTGTCCTTTTTCTAAGACTATATATTGGTCATTGGTATATAAGTAATTGATTTACTTCAATGACCGCAAACACTCTACGAATTCAAAATGAAAATTATTTGTGTTATGGGAATTTTTACAAAAATGCAGACACGAGGTAATTCACAATATCTAAAATAAAAAAAAATCATGTCGATGTCTTACATCATTTTGCTTTTATTTCCAATTACAAATATATAGTTCTTCTTCGATCACTCTGGGCATGCGCACATGTCCTATATATGCATATGCGTCGTTTAGTTAGCGGGGTAAACATAAAAATTTTATATATATATAAAACGATTTAAAGTACGAACATTCAAATGAGATGTTTTAAAATTTCCTGGCATAGCGATCATTAGTTTACAAATGTCAGTTGCTTTAGTGCTGCACTGCTTCAATAATTTCCAAAACAATCGAAAATTCCGAATTTCGTACGTTGACTAAACGTTGCGCTTTAATAAGAAAACCTATCGTTAATAATTAGGACTGACTTGAAATAAGTTGTTGCGGCTCTTGTCTGCGCGAAAAAATGAGTTTGTGGCTATCTTGCGAATGTTAAACAACCCATATACACATCGATGGTGCTGAAGGCCCTTGTCGTCCGAATATGGCAGTTAGTCGAAAAAACATTGAGCAAAATGTGGAAAATTCAAAAATAAATTTACGTGAGGTAACTCACACCCTAAAGATATCAAAAGTCAGTAACCATGAGAAACATCTGCTCGAAGCGGGTATCGCGTTTGCTCACTTTTGATCAAAAAGAGTAGAGAGAGATTTTTTCATGCGATACATAACAAGGGAGGAAATATGGCATCATTGTTGCACTCACGAATCAAAGAGTAATTATTTTGCAGCATTATAAGGGCGTTTGAATAACAAAATTGCAAAAAAACCGAGAAGTTAGACCGGAGACTTATTGAGTGATTTGATACAACAAAATGCTTGACCAATTTGTTAATAAGATAATTCAAAAAGGCATAAATGCCAACGTGAAAAGCAAAGCATTATTAGTGCGTTTGAATTATTACGATTATGAAAACAATGATTCCAAATCAAGAAGACAAAAAAATCCATTTCATCAAGACACTACACCCGTGTTGCAAATCGTTGGCTATAGTGAAGAAATTGCATGAATTGAAGTTCGAATTGTTTTCACATCCTACAGTATTCTCCAGGTTTACCTCCCGACGCTTATTGCCTGATCGCGAATCTCAAAAGAATGCTCTGCTTAAAGAGATATGACTCCAATAAAGGGATGATCGCCGAAATTGAAGAGTATTTTGTAGAACTGAACTAATCGTTCCATAAGAACGCTATAGAATTGTTAGAGAAGCGTTGATACAATTGTTGGCGTCACCCTTAAATTGTCGTGTCGTTATTAGGTAATGCTGCGAGCTTCATTGCGATATTTCTTTAAGAGGATTTTTATAAACTTTTTGAAGGGAAATTTTCTCAAAATTCTTACATAACTTTATTAAAAAAAAAAAAAAAAAAAAAAAAAAAAAAAAAATAATATCAAAATAAATTTAAAATAATATCAATGTTTTTATAAAATTTCGGAATTTCTGTCAAATGAACTACTGTTGTAAACTTCTTTTTTACTCACTTTGTGCTAGCGTTCATTTTATGCACTCGATGTGGTACATCTTTGGTTACAAAATAGCTGGGTGTCTTTTCCATAGTAATTTGTCCCTCAATCGTATAAGGCATATGATGACGATACCAATGTAATCCTCGTTGATAATGACGATCGAAAAAATGCACCTCACAGCCGGCGGCCCGTACATCCGGGTGTAAGCGTATAAATTCTAATAACGCTCTCGTACCGCTCTTTTTTACGCCTATTATTAAAGTGTCAGGTAAATGACGTGACGGCCGAGAGCCCGGTTGACGCAATAAACGATATTTAGCAAAAGCTTCCAATACATGAGCACTAATAGTAGTAATTGAATTAATACTGGTGGAATTGTTACTACTATTACTAATTGTGGTGGCACTGTTATTTGTGCTATTCATCGAGCTTAGAGGCACAATGTGTACACCAATATGGGAATTTGTATTGATGAAGCTATTATTATTATTGTTTGCATAGGGAGTTATTGTAACATTTGCAACGACTTCCAATAGATTTGTAGATATTAACAATTGACGCGAAGCATTCTTTTTAAAAAATGAAGAAGAGAGATATAATATTATTTTTCCTTAACATTCATTGAGGAGAGATATAAATTTTTGTTTTTTTTACCCTTTTAAAACTGCGATTAATGCTGGTTAAGAGGCAAGAATTAAAAGTGTAGGACACATAGATTAAAGACATACAAATCAGTATGGTAATCACCAGACTGCGATTACTTAAACCATTAAACCAGGCAATAAACATTTTTCATTTTACGCAGCCCTCACTTATATACAAATCAAAACACTACACAATGGAATTCACGAGCATTTCCTTTTTTGAACAAAAAAAAAAACGCATCCTTTTCTTAAACACTTCATTTCATTACTTCCATAAAATCCGTTTTTCCGTATTAAAAATTTTCCTTTTCTCTTACATTTTTCGGGGTTTTTTTCTGTCTTTTCTTCGCTTCCACCCCCAGTTGTTCGATAACAAATTTTGCAAAAAAAACAAAAAACAAAAAACAAGAAACAAAAATGGAAAAAAAGAAAAGAAAAATTGACTGATAGAGTAAGTGTTTGAAGTTGCTATTTGGTGTTGCTTGGTGCCTTTGTTTTTCTTCATTTAAAACCATGTTGCTTTGCACGCAGCCATACACAAGCATTGCACGCCTTGCACAAAACACTCAAGGAAAACTAACGACGAAATGAAAAATGGCAATAAATAGCGTGAGCTCGCGCTCACACTCGCAATTGTGTGCCCGCTCAGAAGGAATAAACTAATACGTCGATGTCTAGCCCAGACAACGGTCGACATTTGTTGTTCAGCGAGTGTGTGTGCACGGGTGTGTGCTCATAAACGGTCATTGATTGTTTGCATCCTGCAATAGTATTATTGACGCGTAACCGTTTCCGCCTGCTTCACACTTTTATTCACATTCTGCCAGCGAATTCATTCATAAGTATTTACCTTTTTAAGTCACATTTCACTTTATTTCGATTTGCAAATTGTTTTTCTAGTCCGAAATTAATTTTTTACACTCCTTTAAGCTTACATTCATAACAGTTTCTTCCACAAATAAAAAAAGCACGAACTTGCGCAGTACTGTAAATTGAGCGCTAAAAGAGCGCTTGACCAAAGCAAAAGCAAGCAAACATTGGCAAATAATATCAAATTAAGTGTATTTGTTGAGTTACTTACTGTCCAGTCAGAAAATGTGGTCGGCAATCCGAAAAGCCGGTCAAAACCAAAGATTTTAAGCGATGCGGAAGACTCTTGCGATCTGAATTCATATCAACAAAGAAAGCGCTATGTGAATTCGTATATATCTTAATGCTAAAGACAGCTCTTGGCCTTCAACACCGCATATTTAAACTCAATATTTACTTAACTAGGCAGTTAGTCAAGTGATTTTGCACATATGACGAAATAGATCGGCTTCTAAACTTCGACATATCTTAATGCAGGGCATATCTTACCAGATTATAAAAAACTGAACTCTCCCAATTTTCAAATTCCTTCAATTCGTCCAGATAAATACAAATGCTGCAAGTCACCTCAATCTAGATCTAGATAAGATGACTGCTAGAGAGAGAGAGAGAGAGGTAACCTAGATTCTTCTTTATTTCGAACAGAACAGTAATTGCTTAACAGTAATCTTTGCTAAGTGATACAACTTCGAACAAACGCCATCATCTAGCTATTATTAACTATCCGGTAGTCTGTGCGAATCCTTTCAACGAGCTTCCCTTATAATATTCAATAAATTTCATGGTCATTTTGCAGATCTTAGATCTTAAGTGCTGAGCGAAAATGAAAAGAAAACAATTTTTTTTTTTTTTAATGTTTTTTTCTCTTTCTCTATTTGCTTGCGGTATATTTAATAAATATTTTACAATTATTTTTTACGATTGCTTACTCGCATCAAAAATACTTGATGGTGGTGTTGTCGTAGTCATTGTTGTAGTGGTGGTGACATTAATCTTATGAATATCCGTGACGTCGTTGCGATTATCATTGTCAACATCACCACCACCGATACCACTATTAATCGCATTACCTGTTACTCGCGTTAGAGAAGTTGTATGATTGTTTGTTGTTGTTGTTACCGATGATGATGATGATGAGGCTATCGTAATCACAGAGGGTACTTGATTTAAAATAACTTCTGATTTTGAGGATTGTAAACGTTTTTCACAATACAGTTTGCCAATCGGTTGCGCCAGAGATGCAGCTAAACTTTTTGTAATTGTTAGCGGAAAGTTTGAACTTGCCTCAGACGAAGCAATAACTTCATTGGTCACGGGGGTAATGCCTGCCGTATAAGATTGTCTAGACGTAAGCGGATGATAATTGATGGTAGTGCCAAAGGAACCTTGCCTTAAAATAGTAGGTGGATTTGTGACTTTCAGGGGCGAGTTACTTTTACATGTCGCCGCTGTCGTTATGATTAGTGAATTTGATAATTTATTATTGTTGTTAGTGTTATTAGTATTGGCGTTCGTGCTGGTATGAGTTAATTGTTTATCGCTATTTATCGCGATGCCAATATTTGTACGTGTACGATGGGTTATGGGAAACTTATTCTTTGCAAAACTCAAATCCAATTCTAAAGTGTAAAATCGTCCTCTCGTGTATTTCTTGTTTTCGTTTTCGATGGGTTTGTTGCCAGGTGGTGATGTGAATGAAGTGCTGGAATTTAATTTGCTATTAATAGGATGTTGGCTAACGGTGCATATGCTGCTATGATTACTAGTTGTAGTTTTATCGCTACAATTACTGCTGCCGATTGGAGTAGTAATAACACCGGAAGTGGTGTGCAGCAGAGGTGTGGTTTGTGCAATAGAGTAGTTAGTGTATGAAGGACTATTTAGCTCAGGTTGGCAGTGTGCATCAGAGATGGGATTGAACGTTGATGAAGAATTTGTATCTAATCCATCAACCTCATCCCATTCAAACTTTGTTGAGCGATTAGGAAAAGGCAACCGTCCACTATTTTCAGATGTATCGTCATCGTCGTCATCTGAGGTAATTCGCAATTCTTTATTAAATTCGTGTACGGGAGGCGGCGCTGCTGGTGGCGGAGCCACAGCGAAATTTTTACAATTCGGCAATAAATGCAAGACTTTGGCACTAGTAGTACTCGCTGTTGTCTTAAGACGGGGCGATGGATCCGAATGTAAATTTTCACAGCTAGCTTCATAAACACTGGCCAGAGGTTGACTTTTCAAATGAGGTTTTAACGGCTGATTACTAAAATTAGAAGAGGAGGATGAAGAATTGGTGTTACTACTACTAATGCCCGGTAGTACTTCTCTGGCAGTTGTTTTACATGCACCGCCGCTACTATTTAATTCACTTAAAGAAGTTTCATTTTTATTCAATCCCGTCGCTTTATGCACTTCACATGATACAATATGTCTGCTGCTACCTTCTACACTTAAATCTACTATTCTTTGCTCCTCTTTTTTGAATTCTTTTTCTTTTCTAGCTATTATCTCAAGTGATTCATTGTGAAATGACTCAAAATCAAGGTCTAGGAAGAGTTCTTGTAAAAATCTCCGCGCATTCATGCGATAACTCCAACGGCCAAGAGTTTTGCAAACTTCAGAATAAAGACAAATGTCTTGAAAAGACGCGGGATGCTTTTGTTTTAATTCTAGTAAAGCCATTTTCGATTGTTTCGCGCTCACTGGATTAGCTAAACGTTGCACATTATACAAAATATTGGCAGTTAACTTGTCCGGCAAACTCTCCTCACTCAGCATGCTTTCGGGCGACTGAAATTGTCCCACGTCAAATAATTGAACCGATGAAACCGTAGTTGATTGAATTGGATGGGAAGCATTTTTTCCGCTACAGACAACAGCAACGCTTATACCACTTTCTGTTTTATTTGGTATGCTCTCTGCAGCGTGCGCACCCGTGTTTGTCAACGCAACAAAAGCATTTGCGTTCAACTCACAGATAACTGCATTAGCGGAGATATCACCAACCAACCGTTGACTATTTTGCCTATAAGAACGTCTAAGTCGTGAACAGTGCAAACAATTATTACGTCCATGTTTAGCACCAGTCCACTTAGAACGTTTACTCACTGACGAAACGTCGGAGAGCGACGATATAACTGACGATTCATCACCAGCTTCATTGTTGATAGAATCATTGAGGAACTGTTGTTTGGCAGTAAGCAGATTAACATCTATTAGATCTTGATCCCGTATGTCCTGTGACACGTAAGTACGGGAGAGATTACGACGAGGAAACAGATCCAAAATATTTTTCGGAAGACTAATTCCTAAAATTTTGCAAAGCTTTAAAAAAGTTTCTTCAAAATTCTTTATCATACCGTACCAGCGTAGCAAGGACCTTTGGAATCATTTTGAGATAAAAATTTCGGAGTATTTAATGTTGGTAATGGCACTTGCAATTCTTCCGAATCGAATTGTCTGTGAACATATTAGAAGAGCGTACATATGTATTAAAAAGTTTTTTAAAAGTCCATAAGTTTACTTACGCATACATGCGCAGGGATGTTTGACGATCTAAACTCCGGACTTTCATTTTTCTTTGCGAGTCTCCAAACGATGACTTACGAGGTCTAAAGGAAGCAAACGATAATAAATCTATGCGATCGACTATATCATAGAGTTCAGCTGCCGATTCGGATAATACCGGCCGACAATGACGGCGTAAGGACCGAAATTGTGCGTAACCCTTAACATCCGCCGGACCAATTCTGCGTTTCATCAAAGACGATCGGCCTAAAGGTATTTCTTGAAGATTCGACATACTTGGTATTGGAGTTAAAGGAAATTTTTGTTGTTCCCTGGAATTGCAAAAAAAAAAAAAAAAAAAAAAAATACCAAACAGAAGAGACATAATAAAGAACAAAATTTACCCCACAGTTACTGCTCTGCCAGTAACTGATTCACAGCTGCTTACTCCTGATGTATTTGAATCAGTATAGGAATTGTACCGCGTACGATAAGAATAGTGCGTACTGAATGATGTTATCATACCACCTGCAGTTCCAGTTGCAGCACCGGATCCACTTATTAAACTTATAACGTCAGTAGTCTTTGATTCAGATAAGGAACGTTGATGTTTTGCATGACGCGGATAAGATCCCTCGGGTAAAGTCTTCGATTTTGCTGAGGCAGGTATTATACTGCCACTAGTATTAGTACCACTACCGCTTGCACCAGCTGAGCCTTGCTTAAAAGACATCTAAGCAATATCGAGATTGATGCATTTTTGAAAAGTATTAAACAAAACAAATCTTTCATTCTCATACCTCTTCTCCGGACGTCTTAATACTATCCGTGGTTGTATTAGCGTCTTGAGCTTCAGAACTAGCGCTGGCTTCGCCTGTCATGGGATCACGTGCGGTACTGCTACTGCTTAACAGCAAATTCCAATTGCTACCCACATAACAAGAACTATCAATTTGATCTTGCATACCCGTGTAATTATATGGGGGCATGTCAACGCAGTGATGCCTAACGGGTGTAAAATTACCCGCTATCCAGTCTTCAGGTTGATGAACTGGCCAAATAGTATTACGATCATGACGCACGCTAAGCCAATCTATAAACATATATATATATATATATATATATATGTATATATGCATATAATTCAAAGCTCTACGAAACTTTTAACCACGTTCCACTTACTTAATTTAAATAATACATTAGCACCTGCATTAGTGCAACTGATAAGTCCTAACGCATTAAAGCAAGTAGCTCGTATAGAATAGACTTCACAATTAGTGGCCAATATAATCAATTTCTCGTATATTCTAAAACATAATCAAGAAAATAAATTGTAAATTTTAGAAATCGCAAGCTGTACGAGGTGTGAGTGAAAAATGTGAAAATTATCTAAAGGTAATAGTGATAATAAAATAAGCCCAAACTTAGCTTGAAATATTTCAAATACAGTCTTCTTTTTTAAAGAATTCATAAAATAGGCTTCTAGCTTTGATATAGAAAGGAAGGACCATTTCCCAGACTAGAATGTTTCTTCTTTTTTTTTTTTTTTTCTTTGCTTTCTTTGACTAAACAACAAATAGGAAACAATTCGGAAATTAGCGTAGGTTCGATCATCAGCTTATGTTTCATATTTAAAGACCTGCAAAAAATCGCACCAGTCACTTCGAAAGTCCACATTTCTTTTTTTTTTAAATTCGTGAAGAACCATTTCCATATGCCGCAGCATGATTTACGCTTGAGAAGTCTGCAAGCCTCGAAGAGTTAACAAAATAGACAACTTTTCTTAAAGGGTATAGCTCAGTTATAATTATCACTTTTGTTAAGGACTCACCTTTGATCTGTATCCAAAAAGTACTCGATACCATTTGAATGAGTTGACGCATGACCTACAGCCCATATAGCCGCTTTCAATTCTAAACATTCTCGTTCATCCGTACATTTGGCCTGATCGATTATATCGATCAATTGAGGTAAATCGCCAAATTTACGTAAAGCTGTAGTGCCCTGGGTCGTCTGAACCATTTGTCCATATAAATGAGGAGGTATATTTGGTGGTACAATAACGGGTCGAGTATTACAGTTACGTCTGCTATAATAACCATCTTCATTACGCACGTGCAATGTCAAACTGGAATGTGTATCAGCATCAACAAGCAAAACATATCTAAATATAAGAGAAAAGAAAAACTTCCAGTTAAAGACTATTTGTAGAGGGAATGCAATCACCACAAAAATCACAGCATTTAAGCAGATAAAAAAAAAAAGGTAAAGCTGTAATTGTTGCAGCTTGATTACGACACTCTGCTCGCCTTTTGTTGTAACCGTTTCTCCAGTACTCAATTTCTTCCTTGATTTTTGCTTTAAGTTGATTCAAACCACGGGAAATTGAATAGTAACGAGCCATTAGCAAACGCCCTACATCACCCAACGGCTTCAAGTTCGGCCACAGACTAACAATTTCCTCTAAGTAATACTAACAGAGAGAATTATGAAAAGTTATCACATATTTTGTAATAAATATGGAAGAATGAATTAAATTTACCTTTTCATGGCAAGCTTCCTCTAAAACTTCCATGGCAGCTAAAACCACACTGCGATCTGGATCCTTAGTTTGTTGTATAATCATGGGTATACCCCATTCTTCAAAATTGGGAATTCGAGCTCTAAGTAAAACCATCAGAAACTGCGTGGCGTATAATCGACCGCTACGGGCTTTGGCAGACGTTAAAGCGTTTTCTAAAACTTTACGTGTAACCGAATCCATTGTATAATCTAAACCCGAAACTATTAATTTCACATAACACACGTGGTCGGTATTTCGTACCAAATTAACAAGGCTAATTTGCATGAAAAATGATAATTATTTATTAGTTAATGAAAATTATTTTAAAATTTTAATTAAAAAAAAAAAAAAAGGATAGGTATATATACTTACTGTTCGAATACGGCGGTATTGGTTAGAATACTGATACCCTTTTGCACGCGGCACATGCGTCCAATATATAAAAAATACTGCTGACACATAGTGTTGTTAACATGCTGCGGACTAAAGAGGCAGTCGTGTGCACGATTTGATGTCGTTATAGCCAATAAATGTTGTGCGACATCCGAAAAAAAGTCCGTTAATAAACGCATGCTTTCCAACTAATGAAGCATTCAATTTTTATAATAGAGATAAGAATTTTAATTTATAATAAATGGCAAAAAATATTTTACCGAATGACTTGCTAAAAGCCAATCAATTAAATCTAAACCCACTGTTACGTAAGTTGGCAAGGAACGTCCCGGTACTAGTTCTTGATGAGAAAATAAATTATTACTTGGTTTGAAATATTCAACAAGAGCTTTAAGGAACTTTGCAATAGTATCATCCATTTTACGTATTAGATTAGACTAAAAATAATGAAAATAATTTTTTTTTTTGAAAAGATGTATTTGTCCTATTTAATTAATTAAAGAAACTTACCCTTAAGATAGTGCTTATGACTTCCCAATCCCAACCCATACTATCTGGCATTTGAAAAACTTTCGAATCTTTAATTAAACGATTTACTTTAATATTTTCCAAAAACGGTAGAAACTTGCATTTTAAACGAAAACTTGAACGACGCGCTGACGAGGATTGCGAATTCGATTCCTCACTTGAGGATACCGAATCCAAATGAGTCCTTTCTAATGACATAACGGTCGTGTTAAGACCGCCGGCCGCTGTAGATGGTGATTGTTGACTTAACGTCAATGATAAATCCTGAGCATTAATTTCACGTCTAAATAGGCGGGTATGTACAAGGGCTAAGGTTTAAAATTAAAAATTGTGAAATGCATTTACCTTAAAATGTTTTTATAAATACCTACAGCCTTCTTGTATAATGCTATCCAAAAAGAGACTATTCGAAGCCGGCCGATTGCGCATCATTTTCTGGTAATGCTGTAGGGTAGCAATGGCAGCACTAGCATAACGGTTATCCCGGGCACCATGCGAAATTAATAAAGGCAATGCTGGACTGGTACTGCAAATGTCAGGCGGTAAGTGCGTGTGCATCAAATGCAAAATTTTTCCTATTAATATTGTGGCTGCCACTGATACAGTTGCTTCGCCTGCTATAATAACCTCTACTAAGGCATTAAGGAGACCAGTTTCAAGGAAACAAAACAATTGCAAGGCTAACTGTTGTTCACAAACGTTTGGAGCTCGAGAAGCTAAACTTGGCAATATACTGCGCCCCTCTGCCGCTACGAAACCATTGTTTAAAAGCCAATTGTCCTAACGGTCAACAGATATATTAATTATATTAATATTATAATAAATAATATGTTTTTTTTTTTTTAGGTAACATTTAGAAAATTACCTGAAAGTCAGATGGATCAATGGCCTGTAAGGCCACTGAATAATCATCAGTCCAAGTAGGTTGTGGAAGACTTAATAATTCATATAACAATTCCAATATTGCTTTCTATCTCAAACAATTAAACATAAATAAATAAATAAATAAAATAAAATCGTTTTAAAAGAGAGAAATATTTTCCTAATTATTTTCACTCTGCGAAACTTACTCTCACTTCAATTTGATTTAAAAATAAAGCATCGACTATTGCTTTTAAACCTGATTGTTTGCTTGGATCACAGAATTCAATGGTCCCAATCCAGCTACGTAATACCGATAACAAAGCCAAACGACAACTCGTATAACGTAATTCCCGTGCATCTCTATGCAAAGAGAAATTCCATTAAAGAATACTTGCAGCTTGATTTTCTTCTTTCCAATTTTAATTACTCACTTATTTTTGTCCATTATCCCTAAACGATAGGTAAAATCGCAATATGGTGCCGCTAAACAATCCAAGCGTACACCGCATATATTACGTGTTTGTGGCCATTCCAATAGATAGAGTAGTACGCCACTTAAGCTTTCTGCTATACGGGGATTATGACACTCGAGCACGTTTCGTGTTATGGATGTTACACCACCACAACAAATGAGCAATGAGGGATTTAGAACAGCGAATTCACACAATGTAGCCAGACAGGCCCTTAATAAGTTATCATTCTCTTCAATGCCAGTATCCGCCAACGAAACTAAACATCGCACAACTACTGCACTAATATCAATGGCTGAGATGGCCAGCATTTTGCGTATCTGGAATAAAGCAGAGAGTACAACATGTTTCATTTAAAAAAAATAAATAAATAAAAATTTTTTTTGTCTTTTCCTTAAGCGAGTTAAGAGCTTACCAATTTCAATGCCTGTACTCGCTCGTCATCGTTTTTCAACATCAAATCAATGGATCGACATAACAAATATGGTAATTGCATTGAATTAAATATTTTGATATCATCCGTAGTGGCCAAGACGTAGCGTATCGTCCGCAAAGCAGCCGCCCGTACTTGGGTAAATGTGTGAATCAGTGAGGCACTCAGACTGAAAAAAATTGAAATAATTTTTTTTTTATTTTTTTTTATACAGCCTATGAGACTAATGTGTAAGGAAAAGTATTAATTATTCGCTTTTTATCTTTGGATGTACAATAAACATCCGTACCTTTATACATATACACATACCATACATGCTACATGCCATAAAATTAATACGAGTTGTAGGCCATAATTAAATTAAGCAAACGGGAAGTTTAGAATTTATTTAACTTGCTTATGTAAACAAAAAAGGAAACACAAGCAAACTTAACCGGAGGGTACAGACAAATGTAATACACCGTTTATTGGATTGTATTTCATTTGTTTTTTTATTGCACATCGTTTAACCAACCAATGTTCAACGGATTGTCGTCGTACAAATATCGACAACAAAAAAAAAAACGAGTGTTAATATTATTGGCGTATCGGTAACTCCGCTCCTTATGTGTTTGGTTGAACAACAACTACGTTTGTGCAAAAGAAGTTTATGATCATTAGTTCTCAGTTTTGAACATATCGTGATTTTGCTTTGTCGCAGTCGAGCCGCGATCTGCTGTTGACTTGGCTTAAATTCACTTCCATCTAAGTTGCATTTCACACAAATACATTAGATTCATCTTACTAGATATTAGGGAGTCCTATATGGGCCAGTTAGTATATTAATGTTACTTAAAAATCGGAATAATCTGGAAAGTTTAACGCACAAGTACGTTGATAATGTAAAAAAAATTTGTCCTATTATTGGGAATAGAATGCCATAAGTACTTGTAATGAACAATTTAAACCTCTAACCTAAGCAAATATTCATAAAAGTGTTAGCGAGAGACTTTGAGCATTTGTTCGGCTCAGTGACATTTCACAAGTTGAAGATTCAAATTCCACATTTGTAGCCTAGAAATACGCCCAAAAATCATTCAACATCGTATATTCTTAACCACGTTAAAATTCTATTAGGGGGTCGCAAAAATTTTGGCCAGCGACTTCTACAGGCAAAAATGATAAATAAATGGGAAACACCCGGGTACCTAACGATTAAATTCGACGATTTTGACCTTGCTCTGCATAAAATCACAGTGATTCATTTAATATTATTGCTTTAGTCAGTGCACGACGACGCTAATTGTGGGACGCTCAAAATTCTTCTTCTTCCAAATTCATTGTTTTCATTGTTTATGTGAAGAAACCTGCTGCTGGCGAACTCGTCCAAACACGTTCAAAGGCTTATGGTGATGCTGCTCCATCGTATTCCAATTGAAGGTTTCGGTTCCAACGGTTTAAAAGTTGCGGCACGAATTGACTGAAAACGCCATTTTTTGGCCACTTGTTGTAGGAGTTGTTTGGGATACATTGTGGTTTGGCTAGCACAAGCCTCCGCAAAGTTGAAGCAGTGCGAAAAGAGGGCGGTGGGTGGATCGCTGGTCAACCAATACAAATTATTTCGACATGATATCTCTGCGTTGCCAACAATGCTGTAAAATGTTCTAGAAAATGATGGAAACTATTTGGGTTAATATATATATATTGAACGAATTTTCCAATGCCTTTTCCAGGTTAATAAAAGGGTCAACATTTTTACAACCCTCTAATAATTCAATTTAGAAATGTCCCTCCCCATAATTCGTCACCAGTCGTTGAAAATTGCATATGTTAGGTAAAAAGCTGAAAACTAATCAACATTTTTTTGATTTGGTGGCATAAATCAAATGTTAAAAGTAGTTTTGACTCAATCCCAAACGATATATGTATGAGATTTGATTTGAAGCTTAGCAGTAAAGAGTTGTGACGATTGGGAATTTAAAGATTTCGAAAAAAAACTAACTAAAACTAACAACACTTCCTTTTATTTATTGTAAAAGACGGTCACCTCTATGTGAGTTGACGACATCATTCATAATGGCTTGAGTATATTGATGAATCTGCAAAATATTGAAACAAAAATCATCTTTCATTTAATGTGAAATACTGTGTGTCTTCGCTCATTACGGATGGACGGCGCTTTAGCTAAAGACGCTTATGTAGCAAACGTAATACAATAGATTAGAGTTATGAACATATACCGGCTATGGTACATAACTATGAAGATACAGTAGGTTAAGAGCGAATTAACATATTTTTTAGAGCGATTTATTATATTCTGTTGATCGGTGGCAAATTTTGAATTGTTTTAAGCATGTCCGTCAATCCGTTTGTGTAATGTTTGCTGTAAACGTTCTCCTGGCCGCAAAAAAGAAGCTATTCACCCCCTCTAGTCCCAAAGTTAGCCGAGACATTCAAAATTCTTGTGCGCAGATTGATAATGAAAATTGGTCAAAGAACACGCCTACAATAAAGTGAGAGTTCTTCTATTTAAAAAAAAAGAAATAAAAAATTGTTTTTTTGATCATAATTCATAAACTATAGCAGATGAATGTACAACAATTTGAACACATATTTTATGAGCGATGATGCTGCACCCCTATAAAATTGGCAAAAATTGACCACGCCTAGCCAATGTTATAGCGTATCAAGATGAATTTTTTTTTGTCAGTATCTTTATAACGTGCAGAAGCAAGCTTCCACAATCCCTTATAGTAAATAAATGCTTGGTCAGATTCAAATTCAAAATCCACTTAAGCATATCCCTACGTCCACCTGTGTCTCTGTCCGTCCACGCAACTGCGTTATATCTGTGCCTACAAACTTTGCAAAAGAATTCGAAAATGACCCAAACTTTTCATAGAACACGCCTACGATGTGCACAGACCTATTTAACAAAATCTGTAAGCACCTACGCTTTCCGTATTTTTTGCTTGCTCTCATAAAGTACAACACATACATCATAAAAATGTCCACTTTTATTAAAAATAGAAAAAATGAGCCGCGCCCACGCTATATTATAGGGTACGAAAATTTCCCTCTTTGTTGTTAGGTGTTCCCAGAACTTTTGATTATGTTTTCATTTGAAAAAGGCGTTTGTTCAAAAGATTCATACAATGCATATAAATCAAAATAGTTTCTATCATTTTTTACAATATTTTAGAATACTTTTGGCAGCATGGCAATGTTACGTCGAAATAATTTATATTGGTTGGGCAGAGATCCATCCACCGGCCCATTTTCGCAACTTTGCGGATCCGCGCGCCACCCAAGCCGCGCCGCACCGATCTGAACACGTGGTAATCAGGCGGCGCCATGTCCGATGAGTATGATGGGCAGAACTTCACACTCGAGCTACAACAGTACGCTCTGGACAACTCTTGCAGCAACAAGCAGCCAAACTGGCATGTCCCCCCTTCCGTGGTTATAATTATTTAAATTATGGAATATAATTCACAGTGGGAGCGTAAGCCGTCTGTGTTCGTTTTATAATTGCAGAACAGAGAGAAAGTTTCGCTTTTAGCTAAAAGTAGGCTCAAGAGGTCAACTTTGCTACCAAGAGGAGCTTCGCGCATTGCTTTTAATCAAAAGTAATTGGAAAAAGACGACATCACTCAATAGGACTCCGGTCTGACATATATATGATACATATACGACAACAGCTGTTGGCATATTTTTCTTGATAGTGCCAATTTTCAAGCGTAACGGACGATACGTATTAAATTCTCATGACTTTCCGATAATTAGTTTACAGGTTAGAGTGGTTTTAGTGCTATTTTGCCAATTTTCAGAACAACGAATAAAAAAAAGAGTTTCGAATGTTTACTGTTAGCACTGGTTTGAAGGATGTTATAGCGAGTCTGCTCTGTCGAAAGAATAAACTGTCGATTAACTTTTGCTGATTTTAAATAGAATGGTATTGGCAGCGGCGATGTTAAGCGCTCTGGTCAGCCGAACTCAGAAATTGTTTCCTAAATCGTAGAAAAAATGACGAAAATCGTTTTAGAAAACTAAAAAGTGAAGTTGCGGCAGATAGCTGACACTCATACAGATGGCAGAAGGCGGTGTATTTACACTTTTGCACGAATAGTTACCCATGAGAAAGCTCTGCTTTGTTAAAAATGTGTGCCGCGTTTGCTCACCGTTAACAACAACGTGTTGATGATTCAAAGCGCTGTTAAGAGATGTTTAGGTGAAATAAAAGGAACGACAAAATGGACGATACGCCAGAATTAAATTGGCAGTCAGCCGGTTAGATAGTAACCTTATTAAAAAATCTGCAAAGTTAATTAATTACTATGTGAGACCGATCAACTCTCCGGTATCCCATTATTCGTATAAATTTTAAGCGGTTGTCTTGCTAACGGAACTAGAAAGATCGCCTTTACGCCCGATCATTACTTGGCAATTTTAATAGCTTTTCTTTTTAGTTTTTTAATAATCATCGAAATCTGAAACGATATTACAGTGCTTTATGCTTGCACCTCGCCCTTACAGCAAAAGCAGTCTTACTCTTTATGTAAAATTAAATCATCGCCATCATCATCATCATCATCATCATCATCATGTGATTCACTTGTAAACATAGTATGCGTGCACATATATACAAGCATACTATAAAAAGGGTTTGTATTACAATATTTTTTACAGTCTAGAGATTTGTTTATTATTATTAATATTATTGTTCTCTCCCTCTTGTTATTGCTGTTAGTATTACTATTATTGTCGGTTGGTTGATTTGTTGATTAGCTTAGCTTGGGTGGGTTAGGTTGGCTGGCTAAAGTTGATTATTGCGGTACTTACCAGTAGAGTAACTCTTCCGTGGTAAATCCTAAATTACTTTTTGCCACCGCCTGCGAAGCTGTCGCCACCGTTGTTGTTGCTATTATTGTTGCCGCAACTGTTGTTGATGTCTGTGCTGGTGGTGGCTGTCTGTGCTGTTTTTGTTGTTGTTGGCATAGTGCAGCCAAGCCGTTGAGTAGAAAGAGACGTTTCGTATCGCGTGTCTCACGACAACACAAAGTCGTATAAATATCATAAGCATTCTCTGCAACGGATTTCTTTGGATCCAAACGATAATAATCTTCGGGGTCTTGTGAAACTGCAACGGAAAAACAAAGGGGAAAATGGAAAAAATGAAAGCGTAATTATTACCCTCATTGTAGCAAAAGATTCTTTTTTTTCTATCTTTTTTTTTTCTATAGAGTTTATTGCCCTGATGCTATTATGAGAGAGAAAGAGAGAGAGAGAGAGAGAGAGAGCAATACTAAAGGTTTGGTATAACTAATTAGCATTAGAAAATATTAAAACCATCTTAAATTTTCTTCTGATAGTTACTATATTAACAACTTTTATATAATTATCGAGAAAAACCACATATGAATGTTGCAGACATTTCAACTGGTGTGTGCTTCGAAGTGAGAAGAATTAAAGAAACAAAAGAAACAGGCGTGTCAACATTTACACAATTCATGGAAATGCTAAATTACTTATTTATGACTTTAAACTTGAAACCAATAAGCGAGATAATATAGTTAATGATTGAATTAAATTAAATTCTGCAAAGAAAACGAGGCCGATATTTCATTCTTCTACCATTTTTTTCTTTTCCCTTTTATATTAATATATGTATATTTACGTATACATCACCGAAAGATGGTGAAATTAACACAAGGTATCTTAAAATTCATGAAGTACTAGTTTCTCATCAAGCATACAATACAGTGTTACGTACAGAATAACGTATTTGATAAATAGTCTCCTAGCCTTTGCTCGCGCATACCTTCAATGACTTTGTTCGAAAAATCAAAGTTCACTTCTTGTTATTATTATTAGCTACAATATATTTTTCGAAAAATTGATATTCAAACTTAACATAATAAATACACTCTGTGATGCTTTTTATACCCCCCACTGCAAGATGGGGGTATATTGATTTTGTTTTTTTCCGTGATGTATGTAACGCGCTAAAGAAGGCTTCAGAGACCCTATAAAGCATGTATATTCGCGATCAGTATGAAATTCTGAGTTGATTTAACCATGTCTGTCCTGTCATGTTTTTCCTCATTACATGGAAATTATTATAGCGAAAAGGTTGAAATTTTCCATAACGCGAAAAACTCTACTCTCTGGGTCCAAACAGGGAACCAATCATTCCCGATGCCCATTGCTGACTTTGCTACGAAAATACATAGATATTGTGAGCGGACAGAAATGAATGCAATTAAAGTTGGGAAATAAAAGGAATTAATTCAATTATCACAAGTAACATTGAAATCAACTTTTCTTTCGAGTTTCCATTGTAAGTGTCCGTAATTTCGTAGACGTATTCCCTCCCCATTCATTAACAAATCACTTAATTCAACTTCAAGACGTTGACTGTATTAGTTTTCATTCACCGAAATTGTTTCAGAATTTTATTATACAAAAACTAAGAAAACACATTTTTTAAGATCACCCGCAATGTTTAATTAAATATTGGATGCGCGCAAATTAAATTAATATTCGCTTAATGCACATAATGGGAACAATATGAATGCATGGCAAAACGAAAATGTTGTTTATTTTAAAGTCTCCACTTGAGGTCAACTTTCAGATACTTTCAGGTGCTTTAAAAGTTGTCCGATTGCGTTACAGAATTTTCTTTATTTATAAATTCATGTATAACGTGAAATTATGTGCCGTGCGAGACAAGAAAGTAAGTTCATGTAACACTCTGTTGTAGGTACACCAGCTGTGTAGTTTCCTATCGTTCTATATTTAAATTAAGCGTTGATTTTATTTACAATGTCACTATCCCTCTTATCTTTCTGACAAAATATGTAACCAGCACTAAAAAGACAAGTGGTGCTTTTAAGGCCCTTTTGTTGGCTATCGCTATAATAGGAAGAGAAAGCCTGCTCAGGTAGACGTTAACTTATCAATTGCAACAGATGTTAATCAGCTAAAAGGATATTTGGTGCGGCGTGGGTAGTAGTAAGACACTCGGTTCGCAATATAAGACAAGGCATCGCCATACCGAAGAGTCGTCCCTACACTTCGACTAACAGTTTTCATCTAACAATAAGCTTAGTCTGATCAAGAGTTACTGCCAGAGCTCTTTAATGGTGATTTTCTTCGGTTTTCTGGATTAATCCTAGACGGAGGTGATAAAGATTTTCGTTTATGTCGTCGTAGTTAATGGTTTGTCTAGCTTGTACCATGATTTTTGGCGCTGCATCCTATTTATTTGTTATTATTCATTATAGTTGAGTAGGGGAAATGGGAATGCTACCTATGTGTTTGCAATTCTGCGATATAACTTAAAGTATTACGTCAAGCTGAAAAAACTTTTTTCATATGGAGTCGTTGACGTACTTCATTCGATACTTAAAGTTTAATCAAGAATACATGGATCTAGCGCTTGAGTTCACTAAACCAAATTCTATGACGATGAACATTTTCATATGGAAAGGATAAGGAAAAACTATTACAAGGTATAAATATAGAAGGAAGTTTCGTGACAAATAGATTAAGAGAATGTAGTCTGCCTAAGCTTTTATTTTCGGAAGAGTACGAGTGAGTAGATTTGAATTCTAATGAGGAATACAAGTGGGAGAATTCAAAAAACGAAACACATTGCCCAAATAATGTTACGAAATGAAAGGGAGAGTATGCATAACTAACTTTTTTTTTTATTGGAAAGTGTATAGAGGGCCATTACAAACGGGATATAAGTATGCGTAGGGTATTTATGATGAAAATATGGAACCATACCATATATATATGTATGCATACATAAATGCAAGTGAAGAAATTATATTCGGCTGTGGCCGAATTTTCTATGTCCACCACCTCTTTCAAAATCATTTGAAATTAAATGCAGAAAAAGAACTAAAGCTTGTCTGCGTGGGTATAGCCAGATATTGTACAGATAAAATGTAGCTAAAAGCTGTAGCTTTTATCGCTTTACCTATTTTAGGGTATATGAGGTAATGAGAAGAAGACCCAATTTTTTTGCTTTTAAAAACGGAATTGTTCTTAGCTCATGAACATGTATGGCATGTCTTTTCGCCGATTTCGCCGGTATTTGATCTAAATGAAATTCGAAGCCGACAGCTTCATTGCCGCAGCGAGGAGAATGTTTACCATAGACGGAGAGACATACAAACGAATGGACGGAAGAATATACATTAATATGGTTTATGGAGTCTTAAGAGCTGCCTTCTAAGCGTTGCAAACGTTTCGACAAAGTATACATACTCCTATTCTTGCGTGGTCGATGTAAAAATTATATCCCCGTGGGTTTTTACCGACCGTATATCAACTATCTTCAAAATTAACAATTCAAATGAAAGAAAGAGTTACGTATATAATTATAACGAATGCGTCATCTGTGTGCATAATTTAGGTGAAACTTTTAACACATCCAGCCGGCAAGTAATAAACACACGAAGATAATCTACCATTTGCTTAAAGCGCTTTTCACCGAGCGGTTAAATTAGCTTTTAATAGAAGTCAGGAAAAAATGAGAAACGATATGAAAAAAACAAAAATGCAGTAAATAAAAAAAAAAAAAAAGAAGAAATCATTTACATTTTCATTGGTCTTTAAAGAGGGAAATCTTCAGTAGTGTTTAGTCGGTTGAGACGGTAGATGGGTGTTTGCACATTTGCATAAAGAGATTTTTATCTTTTCGAGCGCATAAATGCAAGCAATTTGTTAATTTCATTTTTCTATTAATGTCTGGTTTTACTGGAGCTGGAAATACTAATTTATACTAATTATATGTTTTTCTTTTTACTTTATTTTTTATTTACTGTTATTATTTAATTAGCAACTGATCGTTTGAATTTTTTTTTTTTTTTTTTTTTTTCCTTCTCTCTTCTTTCTTTTATAATGGCTCCTATAACCGTATGCTTTTATAAGATAGTTGAGCTGTAGTTATTCACCGATAATGAAGTTAAGTCCAATTATTTTTTCTTTAAACAGCCAAGCACGAAGTTTCGTTTGCTATATTTATACAAATACGTATGAAACTTTTAGCCTGAAATGATATTCACTCTTTCTCTCTGTTGCAATAGTAATGAGATCTCAATTTGGAGGCTTCTTCTTTTGGCAAATTTAGCAAAAATGCAGAGAAATAAAAACTAACCGACAAAATGCGGTGGCGATTACTCTCAGGTTAATAACTGAAGCGCAGCAACTTATCTGAACTTGATTACGGTCCAAGTAATCTTATGCAAAAGCAGATATAGCAAAGCGACAATCATTATTCAATAATTCCCGGAATTGATATATCGATTGTGCCTCTAATTATCAATCGAAAATATTATGAGAAAGTGCCAAACTATTTATTCGATGGTTCGTTCACGAGCTATTCTGCTTTTAGGGACTATTAGGTAATTTTGTTATTTTCAAGTTAATTGGAAAATCACGTGTATTGATTACATAACGCTTTTTGATGACGGAAAATTTAATATTCGAACAAAGCACTGCCTTCAAAAATTTTATAGTTATTCGTGTTTGTCGATGCTTGATGGTTTGTCATTTTTCAGGAAATTATTTTCGATAATTGAAAGTGGAAGCCCAAACCGATTCAGAACAGAAGGAGAACATGATGGTAATGGTCACTGTGGAAATTGAAGCACGTTTTTTGGGTCGTGACAACCCGTCGTCCTATAAAAAGACTCGTTAGACTGATTGTATAGTGTATCGACGATCAAAGTCAAAGTTTGTACAAGCAAATCACGGGCTTACATGATCGTTCTGAGGCAGTCATATTTTGAAAAAATATCGAGGAAAATCAAATTTCTATTTAGATGAAATTGTTCATACCGATGAATCATGACTGACATTGTATTCAGCATCGAAAGATTCATGCTGTCAACATGTTTATCCCAAAGCAAGCTTCAGAGATTTTATTAAGTATGCATATTTTTAACTGCGCCATGTCTGTGGCAAACATTCTTCTCCCCGCGAAAGCAAACTCATCCACCACAAATTTGACATAAATATTGGACATCTCTGCATGTACGTTAATATTGAAAATAATTTAAAGAAGTGAAAAGAGACGCCCGCAATGCAACATAAACCAAAGCCGATACAATGCTGCAGTGGCCG